TTAAAAGGATCATACACCATGATCAAGTGGGATTTATCCCAGGGATGCAAGGATATCCTTGCATCCCTGGGATAAATCAAAATGGATTTGAGACCTTAATGTAAGACCGGACACTATAAAACTCTTAGAGGAAAACATAGGAAGAGCACTCTTTGACATAAATCACAGCAAGATCTTTTTGGATCCACCTCCTAGAGTAATGGAAATAAAAACAAAAATAAACAAATGGGACCTAATGAAACTTAAAAGCTTTTGCACAGCAAAGGAAACCATAAACAAGACAAAAAGACAACCTTCAGAATGGGAGAAAATATTTGCCAATGAACCAACAGACAAAGGATTAATCTCCAAAATATATAAACAGCTCATACAGCTCAATATTAAAAAAATAAACAACCCAATCCAAAAATGGGCAGAAGACCTAAATAGACATTTCTCCAAAGAAGACATACAGATGGCCAAGAAGCACATGAAAAGCTGTTCAACATCACTAATTATTAGAGAAATGCAAATCAAAACTACAATGAGGTATCACCTCACACCAGTTAGAAGGGGCATCATCAGAAAATCTACAAATAACAAATGCTGGAGAGGGTGTGGAGAAAACGGAACCCTATTGCACTGTTGGTGGGAATGTAAATTGATACAGCCACTATGGAGAACAGTATAGAGGTTCCTTAAAAAAGTAAAAATAGAATTACCATATGATCCAGCAATCCCACTACTGGGTATATACCCAGAGAAAACCATAATTCAACAAGACACATGCACCTCAATGTTCATTGCAGCACTATTTACAATAGCCAGGTCATGGAAGCAAACTAAATGCCCAAAGATAAAGAAGTGTGGTACATGTATACAATGGAATATTACTCAGCCATAAAAAGGAACGAAATTGGGTCATTTGTTGAGACGTGGCTGGATCTAGAGACTGTCATACAGAGTGAAGTAAGTCAGAAAGAGAAAAACAAATATCGTATATTAACGCATATATGTGGAACGTAGAAAAATGGTACAGATGAACCGGTTTGCAGGGCAGAAATTGAGACACAGATGTAGAGAACAACCATATGGACACCAAGGGGGGAAAGCGGTGGGGCGGTGGGGATGGTGGTGTGATGAATTGGAAGATTGGGATTGACATGTACACACTGATGTGTATAAAATGGATGACTAATAAGAACCTGCTGTATAAAAAAATAAATAAAATGAAAGCATAAAAAAAGAAATTAATCTAGGGGTGTGTGTGCGTTAGATTATAACAGGTAAAGCTTGGAGAGAAAGGACAAAGTTAAGGAACAATTATTGTATTTGAGGCATGAAATGACAGGCTCCTGTCTGAGAAGATTTAAAGTAGAAAAAGAAAGCAAGCAACATAAGTGCAATAGGCATTATGTGATAAATAGCGATTGAGTGGCTATTAAGAGAAAGCTAAAACACATTAGTGAAGGTGCCGACTAAAGGTATAAAAAGGAAAACAGAAGGATAAAAATGGAAGGGAGGGGCTTTGCTGGTGGCACAGTGGTTAAGAATCTACACAGGTTCTAGCCCTGGTGCGGGAAGATCCCACATGCTGCAGAGCAACTAAGCCCGTGCGCCACAACTACTGAGCCTGTGCTCTAGAGCCTGTGAGCCACAACTACTAAGCCCACGTGCCTAGAGCCCGTGCTCTGCAACAAGAGAAGCCACCGCAATGAGAAGCCTGCGCACTGCAACTAAAGAGTAGCCCCCGCTCGTCACAACTAGAGAAAGCCCACGCACAGCAATGAAGACCCCACGCAGCCAAAAATAAATAGATAAATAAATTTATTTTAAAAAAATGGAAGGGAGAAGGAGAAAAAGATAATTTTTCAAGTATGAAAGACATTGTCTTCTACAAACAACACACAAAAAAATACAAAGTAATGAAAAGGCGGTTTAGCAGATTCACATAATAAGGAAATAAATTAGTAATAATTCAGCAGGCAGTTGTTGAGCATACCTAAAGACAGGATTGTTCTGTGCTCGAGAATTCAAAGCTAAATAAGATGTAGAATACAGTCTCTGAATTCAAATTGCTTACACTTTACTGCAGGAAGACAGACAAAATAGAAAAATTCAAGATAATACGGTAAGTTAATCAAGAGTCAAATGCATGATGCCGTAGGGGAGTATAAACACAACATAATAAGGCTTTCTTAATAATTTACTATAGGTGATAAGACCTCTTGTTGCTTATGATTTTTTATAACATATGGAAAAAATAGACTTTTTTTTACTGAGTCGTTCAACAAATGTTTAATTAGTACCTACTATGTGCCAGGCATTTAGGATTAGAGAACAAAATTGATGTGATTCCTTCCCTTATGGAAGGTATAGTCCATACTGTGAAAGATAAAAGCAAGTAAACAGATGATTACAACAGTGTTATAATGGGGGAGATAGTGTTAAGAAAACACAAAGGAGGGAACCTATCTGGAGAAAGTGAAGTAAGACCTAAGGATGAGTAGGAGTCACCCAGCGCGTGAGACGTGTTGCAGAGAAGTCTATAGTGGAGTAAGGCAAGAATCTTTAAAGCAGAGGAAATAGACGTGCAAAGGTCTGGAGTCAAGAGAGAGAAAACAGCCTGTGTTCAATTAACTGAAATTGTTCAATATACTTCTAGTGTAGTTTAGTGTGAGCTAAGGTTGAAGTGTCAGAGTGGGGACTGGGTAGTTAGGTTTTAGCAAGGAATGAAGCTGGAGAGTTTGGAAGGATCCAGATCATATATTGCTTCATAGTCATTTGAATTCTGAACATTTTGCTGAGAGCAGTTTTAAGCAAGGAAATGACATTCTCAAATTTGTGTCCTACTTTATAAGATCACTCTGGCTACACTATGGAGAACGGGTTAGAGAGGCACAAGATTAGAGGCAGAAAGTCCAACTTAGAAGGTCCAGGATATCTGCAGCTGGAGACAGCTTGGAGAAAAATGACTAGATTTTTGAGATTTACAGGCTAGAATCAAGAGAAACAGGTTTGAGGGTTTAGTTCCAGAGCCTAGAGTCTGATGTTCCTCGGAGACATTATAACAGTCACTGTGAGGTGGCTGAAGGCTAGTCCTTCCAAGCTCCCTTGTGCTAGCAGTGGCCATGTAACACAGTTCTAGCCAGTGAGTCTGGATGGTACCACCACTTCCTCCTTACTGCCCTGAATACAAAGTTATGGCAGCCCTCTTGTGACCCTGAGGGAAAGGCCAAAGGAATTGCTAAAATGACAACCCTGATAATGATAAGCTACTTAATCAATCCCAGCTGCCATCTAACTTTCAGATGCTTTGTATACACGGATACTTGATTTCCTACTTATCGGTTGGGTTTACTACTTACAGCTGAAAAACACCTAAACTACATGCAATTTGAAGATTTCCAGGACAGTGAGATATATGGGTCTGCAGTAAAGCTGGCTGGAAGACTGGGGAACTTCAGGAATCATCAGCATATAAATGGCAATTAAATTTGAAGAAGTGGTTGAGGTAACCCTGGAAGCGCAAGAAGCACACAGAGGGGCAAAGTCAGAACCCTTAAAAACACCAATATTTAAAAGTTAGGCAAGGAAAGAGGAGGAGGTTGGGATAAAGTGTTCAAAGATGTAGGAAAAAGAATACCAGGAAGCTGGTGTCACAGAAGCCAAGCATGGAGAGCTTTCCAAAGAAGGGAGGCCAATACCCACTAAGGTGCTGCTGAGAAGAGCTTTCTTCTCTTGGTTACCTCCTACTTAGCTTTCACAAATCTCAAATTATACAGTATCCTCTGGGAACTCTCTGACCCCCCAAGATCCCTCCTATGTGTCTCTGTAGCTCTAGGCACTTGTTCCGTCTTCTCATGCTGTGCTGTAATTGCTTGTCTTGTCTATCTCTGCCTTTCTTCCCCGTGCCACACCACAAGGCTGTAATTAAACCCTGAGGGGGCAGAAATCAGTGTCTGTCTTATTCATATTTGCACCCCCAATTCCTAGCACAGTACCTGGTACATAGCAGGCTCTTGGAAGGTTTTGTAAGATCAGGGGCCCAACACTGTAGGAAAATTCTGAAGAGGGGACCCAGGAAGAAAAACGCTATGCAAATAGGATGAAACACTATGATTATTGGGATGTTAATCGTTTGGTGCTAGAAGACTGTATGAAAGGGGAGAAATGAAGGAAAAATGGTGGTGGGTCTTAGCTCTGGTGATTTAAAAGGTTGGAAAGATACTGGTGCAAATGTAGGAGATAGGTTTAAACCCAAAGAACAAAGCTCGAGCCTCTCAGCTGCTTGGAGGCAAGGACCTATGGTGTTACGCTTTCCTTGCCCAGTCTCTTTCTCTAGACTGTAAATTCCTTGAGGGCAGGGGTCGTATTATCAGTGTCTGAAACTAAGGGGTGCTCAATAAATGTTTACTGAATATAGTATATCTCTGTTTCCCCAGTGCCTACCACAATGCCCGGTACCCGGATGGTGCTCAATGAAAGGCTACTGAACGAAAGGATAGCTGGGCTTCGGGTGCAGATGAAGCGGGAGGGCGACCGAGTCACGACGTAAGTGCGCCCAGGTAAGGAGAGAGAGTGGGTTTCCAGACAGGTTGAGCGCCACCTTCGCTGCCCTTCGTTTTGCATACATCCCTCCACCTCTCCATCACGCGAGCCCTGTACGCGAAGCACTAGGAGGACAAAGTAACACACCTCTCCCGAGTGACTCCGAACAAATCACTCCTTCCCGACATCAGATCTGCCCAACCTGCTTACCAGACGCCCGGCAGTCCGGCTCCAGGTCCTCAGCACACACGCTGCAGCCATCTTACTCCGGAAATGACAACTGCTCTGAGGTTGGAGGAGTTGCCTGCGGGGGACCTATTGGGAGCCGGGAAACGAGCCTTCCCCTGAGGCCTGAGCGGCCAATGGAGAGCGAAGGAACGAGCCTCCCACCCAACAGCCAGTCAGGGAGCGGGGCGGGGCTGAGATAACCGTTGGGGGGGGGGGGGGAAGCCCTGCGGAGTGGGAGAAGAGACAAGTGGGGAGGAGGGCTGCCCAAATTTAGTTTCAGGGACAAAGTTGGGTAAGGCACAGCTGTGTAAGTACATGTGCGCCAACGATCATATTTTCAGTGCAAGTAATGGGGGAGATGGAGTATGTTAAGGAAACAAAGGAAGGGCACTCACCTGGAGAAATTTACGTTGAAGTAAGATTTGAGGGGTAAGTAGGAGAAAGCAAAAACAAAAACAAAAACCTTCCTTCAGCTTGTATTGTAACTGCTTGATTACAGAAAATGGGACATTTCTATACTTTGTAGCAAGGATCTGTACCGCTAGTTGAGTCAAGTCTATACTGGAATACTTCCCAATGACGGGCATTTCTTACTCGCATTGTGTTCTTGGTTACCGAAACTGGCTTTTCAATTTTTTATTTTTTTCATGTAAGATAAACAAGGTTACCATAATGTCTAAGACAAATGTCATCGCCATTATCTTTCCTTTTTAGGGAATCTGTCAGAGGTAGCTGCCCAGCATATGCAAGAATGTCAGACATACTACCTGTATTTATTTGCCTCTTGGAGAAATGTCAAATTGAGGTCAGTGGAACTGGTAAAGAAAAGATCAGAGCTCTAATGGTCAATCCTCCTCACAGCAACTAAGAAACCAATTTCTAGAAATGTCCACGATGATATTTGTCTGTTCTTCCTCTTATAAGGGAATGAAAATCTGTACAGATGTCTAAAGAATTACAGAGAACAAAACTGGAACAAAGACAAAATCATAAATTCTCAACACTGAAGATTAGTGGCCGTGAAACAAAATCTCAGGTACTTCACAAATTCACTGTCGGATATTACTCAAACTCACACTTTTTATTTTGCTTTATTTGCCTTTCAGTGTATTTCACACACACACACACACACACACACAAACTGTAAGCAATAGATTTAAATCATAACCTTTATAAGAAAACCTGGGATAGTCAAAGAACTTTGATTTTTTTTAACTTTCCCACTAACAAAACATTTTATAGGCACAAATAATAGATTTCATAATACTACATGCATGTGTTTTTATAAAAAGATTAAGTAGCTGTGCCTTTGAATTGAATTATTTTTCTTCCCAGAGCCCCTATACTACCTTCTTCCTCTTAACTTTCCCTTTGACTCTACCTTCTCTTAAGGAAATGTCTAGTTTACTTCTTTTCTTTTATACTCTTTACCTCAACATGATTACTGCTTCCAAATTCAGTATGGTATGTTTCCTTATCCTTCCTTCTGACATCAAGAGATATGCCACATATTCACTAGTTAATCCTTTCACTTGAGCTCGAAAGAACCAAATAACCCATTTCTTCTCTTTTTAAAAATTTAATTGAGGGAATTTCCTGGTGGTCTAGTGGTTAGGATTCTGAGCTTCCACTGCAGGGGGCCTGGGTTTGCTCTCTGGTGGGGGAACTAAGATCCCACAAGCTGCGCCGGTGTGGCCAAAAAAATAATAATAATAATAATTGAATGATTGATTGTTACCTGGAAATTCTACTCTTAGGTATCTACCCAAGAGAAATAAAAACATATGTCCACATAAAGACTAGTACAAGAATGTTCTTAACAGCCTTATTTATATTAGCCAAAACCTAGAAACAGCCCAAATGTCCTCCATACGTAAATGAATAAACAAACTGTGGTGTATTCATATAATGGAATATTATTCATCACTAACAATGACTGAAGTAATGATACATGCTTTAACATGAATGAACCTCAAAAATATTATGCTAAGTAAAAGGAGCCAGATCCAGAAGGTCACATATTGCCTGATTCCATTTGTATGGAATGTCCAGAGAAGGCAAATCTATAGAGACAGAAGGCAGATTAGTGGTTGCCTGGCACTGGGGGTGAGAATGGGGAATGACTGCAAAGGGGCAAGAGATAGATTTTTGTGAACAATACGGAGATTTTTAATATATTTACAAAGTTGTAAAACCATTACCACCATCTAATTCCAGAACATTTTCACCACCTCCCGAAAGAAACCCCATGGCCATTAGCAATCAATTCCCATTCTGGAACTCCCTCCCACCCCTGAGTCCCTGATACTACTCGTCTACTTTCTGACTCTATAAATTTACCTGTTCTGGACATTTCATATAAAAGGAATCATACAATATGTGGCTTTTATGACTAGCTAATGTTCTCAGGGCTCATCTATTTTACACATGTATTGGTGCTTTACTCCTTTTTATGGCCGAATAATATTTCATTTTGCAGATATAAATATTTTTGTTTATCCACTCATCAGTCAATAGATATTTGGGTTGTTTCCACTTTTGGGCTATTGTGAATGCTGCTATGAACATTAATGTGCAAGTTTTTGTGTAGATATGTGTTTTATTTTCCTTGGGTGTATACCTAAGAGTTGAATTGCTGGGTTGCACGATAACCCTATGTTTAATTCTTTGAGGAACTGCCAGACTGTTTTCAAAGGTGGCTGCACCATTTCACATTCTCACTAGCAGTGTATGAAGGTCCTGGTTCCTTCACATCCTCATCAACTCTTGTTATTGTCTGTCTTTTTCATTATAACCATGCGAGTGGATATAAAGTGATATTGAAACGGAGCAGGACCCTACAGTCCTTGCCCCCCGCCCCCCATATCCTCAGCCTGCCTTTTGTCTGTGGAAACACTTTAGCCAAAGAATAAGTTTAATCAGAGAAGTGAGAAAATGCAGAAACAAAGGAAAACAGTCAAAGGAGACCAAATAATAATAGTTTAATCATTAAGCATAGTCAAGGACCTTTATTTCCTCCTTAAGGGCTATAGATAATATTCTGGGCCATATCCTGTGAGCTGTTTTGCAGCTACTGAAGCCCCCACCAGGTGAAGGAGGATGACTACATGATGACCAAACTGAAGCCATGACATAAGCTTCCACAGTTCTGAGAACTGGCCTCAAAGAAATGGGAACAAACCCTGGAACTAAAGATTAATCAGTAATCTTGAAACAACAAAGATGATGCTGATCAGACCACCATATTACTTATTTCAAGATGACTGTCAGAGCTGACTATGCTGTTCTGCTCCCTCCCTCTGCCTATACAGCCCTGAAACTCCCCTTTAAAAGCCCCTGTCCCCTGAGCAACAATCAGGAGCTGGTTCTCTTGCAGGAGTCCACCCCCCAGTTGCCGGCCTCCGAAATAAAGCAACCTTTCCTTTCCTACCAACACTTGCCTCTCAAGAATTGAGAGAATTGTCTTTGAATCATCTTTCAAGTGGTGTTCAGTAATATTTCACTGTGATTTTGATTTGCGTTTCCCTAATGACGAATGATGCTGAGCATCTTTTCATGTGCTTATTGGCCATTTGTATATCTTCTTTGGAGAAATGTCTATTCAAATCCTTTGCCCATTTAAAAATTGGGTTGTCTTTTTATTTTGGCATTGTAATAGTTCTTTATATATTCTAGATACTAGACACATCAGATATATGACTTACAAATATTTTCTCCCATTCTTTTTTCTTTTTTTTGCGGTACACGGGCCTCTCACTGTTGTGGCCTCTTCCGTTGCGGAGCACAGGCTCCGGACGCGCAGGCTCAGCGGCCATGGCTCACGGGCCTAGCAGCTCCGCGGCATGTGGGATCTTCCTGGACCGGGGCACGAACCCGTGTTCCCTGCATCGGCAGGTGGACTCTCAACCACTGGGCCACCAGGGAAGCCCTCTCCCATTCTTTAGTTTGTCTTTTCACTTTCCTGATAGTAACCTTTGAAGTACAAAAGTTTTTTTATTTTAATTAAATTGAAGTCCAATTTATTTTTAAAAAATTGTGCTTCGGGTGTCATAGCTCAGAAACCATCAACTAATCCAAGGTTATGAAGAGTTACATCTATATCGTCTTCTAAAAGTTTTATCTCTTACATTTAGGGCTTTGACCCATTTTGAGTTAATTTTTAAAATATTATGGGAGATATTAAATCTTTAAATCATCTTGAAATGGTTTTTGTGTATGGTGTGAAATACAAATCCAATTTCATTTTTTCTTACAGTTAACCTGTTGTTTCCACACCATAAACTGAAGAGTTCTTCTTTTCCCACTGATCTGCCATCTCATCTGTCAAAGAAATCAGTTTAAGGGCTCTAAGTAATCTATTTATCACTGTACCAATCTCACATTATCTTAATTACTTTAGTGTAGAGAAATAACTGAGGGCATGGAAAGGAGACTTGACCCATGAGCCGCCCCCGCCCCCCTCCGGCAAACCGGGGGCGTGCGAATAAGCCAGAACTGCAAACAGTCCTGGATGCTTTGGGCACTGATCCATGAAATGTCCTCGGTATAATAAGAATAATGGGAACACAAGGAAATGTCCTTGTGCTGCTTTTGAGCTCAAGGACGAAGCACGGCACGTCTTCAAGAAAGCCCACTGTTGCTTGTATAATCAGTGAAAGCATATGTAGCTGCTTTGGCATTTCTGGAATGTTAAGAAAACAAATCTTAAGGTGTAAACATAGATAATGCTTAAATAAAAGTCACCACAGCAGGATGAGACGGCGCTGTATTGCCTGAGCGAGCAGCAGCCCTCTACTGTCGTGTTTCTGCACAATTCATCTCGTGTGATGAGCTTACTTTCAGCCCTGTCATAAGAAACTACAACATTTGGCGCCCGAACAGGGACCTGAAGGTAAGTCTCGAGGTCACGCGGGACCGAAGGGGATTTTTGTACGCTAAAGAGTAAAGCGAAACCTTCGGGAAGAGTAGAGTCATGGGGAATTCTCCCTCAGTGGAATGTCACTACATTAGACTCCTGAAACAGTTATTACGGAGTTCTGGAGTGAAAGTGAAACAAGAATCTTTTGATGAATTGTTTGCGGAGATTCGTAAACATTGTTACTGGTTTCAACCTACTGGTCATAACCAGTTGAATTTAAAAGTTTGGAAACAGGTTATGCGAGCATTAAGAAGAGCTCATCAGTATGGAGACCCTATATCTGTCCGTGTCTGGTCTCTCTGTAATCTAATTTCTCTTGCCCTGGAATCATTACAATCTGAGACTGAAAGTGAAAATGGGGCGCGCCCTCAGCGTCCGAATTCTGCTCCCGATCACTCTGCTACTTTCCGTACTCTGTCCCGTGAATCTCCTATAGAGGACCTTCCTCCGCCTCCTCCTCTTATGTCTGAGACAGGAGAGGATTTTTCGGGCTCCAGTGATGAAGGGGCTCTTTCTGATGATGATAAAGGTCGGGAGCAAGCTAGTAAACAAAATGAGATGCCACTTTCTCAACAGAATGAGATTTCTGATATACTTTCAAAGTTGAAAAATTTGATGGCTAAATTGGAAGAAAATAAAAACAATGCTACCACCCCTTCATATCAGGAGCCATGTCCTACTATTCCTTCGGCCCCTCCTTTAGAATTAGCAGCTTATCCTGTTGGAGCCTCTCGTCAGTTTCGATTTCCTCTAAAACCTGAATGTAATAAACTTTTATTGGAAGAAGAGATGAATAAGGAAGAAAAGCAATATTCTGAACCATTTTTTGCTTTCCCTATTGTTAGACAAGCTATGCCTGCTAATGATCAATTTCCGAATGGACATATGAGTGTTGAGTATAACCCTCATGATTTTAAAATTTTTAAAATGCTAAAAGAAGCCATTAATGCATATGGGATGCATTCTAATTATATTCAAGGACTTTTGTCTGGGTATGCTTCCAAAAACATATTAATTCCTCAGGATTGGGAGGCACTTGCCAGGACTGTTCTTGAACCTGGACAATATATGCAGTTTAAGACTTGGTGGAAAGAAGAAGCTGAAAACATGGCAAGGACTAATGTGGCCCGTAATCCTCCAGGACCACTTTTAGATGAATTAATAGGAACAGGCGCATTTAGTAATGTACAAGCTCAAGCTCAATTTGACGATTTACGAATCATTCAAATACGTATGTGTTGTTTGCGAGCATGGCTACGAGTGGAACCCCCTGGAAAAACAGCACAATCTTTTACTAAGTTAATGCAAGGGCCTGGTGAGCCTTACACAGATTTCTTGTCTAGATTGCATGCAGCCATTCAAAGAGCTGTAGCACAAATAGACGTGCAAGATTTATTATTACAATCCTTGGCCTTTGAGAATGCAAATCCTGAATGCCAGAAGGCATTGCGGCCTTTACGAGCTGTAAACGCTCCACTTGAAGAGTATATAAAAGCTTGCCATGATATTGGATCTCCTACTTATGCCAATTTACTTGCAGCTGCCATAACTGGAGGGTTGAAAGATAATCGTACTAAATGTTACAATTGTGGAAAGTATGGACATATGAGGCGAGATTGTCGAGAAGGGCAAGGCCAAATATCAAAACAGGTTAAGAATGAACAGCCACCTGGTATGTCGCCGGTGTGGTAAAGGACAACACTGGACTAATGAATGCCGTTCCAAAAGGGATAAGTTAGGAAATCTTTTGCCTCCACGAGATAATGTCTCGGGAAACGGGAAGCTAGGCCCAACCCGGGGCCACAACAACAATACGGGAAAAGCGACGGTAAATTCTCAACGGTATCCTGTAAGCAATGGCAGCTTTCATCAGACACTACAGGACAATCTCAACATCGGCTCTTAGTTACTGATCTCATGCATGCTACCAGCGGCAGTGCTGCCGTTGACTGAATTGCTCCTCGAGATTGTATCCTTACGCCAGCAGGAGGAGTTCACAAATTAGCTACAGGAGTTTATGGGCCTATACCTGCAGGAACCGTGGGACTATTATTAGGACGAAGTAGTTTGACTCTGCAGGGTGTAACAGTTCATACTGGAGTTATTGATGAGGATTATAATGGAGAAATTTCTATTATGATTTCTGTTACAAAACCTATAGAATTTAATAAACGACAAAGAATTGCTCAATTGTTACTGTTACCATATATAAAACAAGCAGCCGCCCCGGTAAAGCGTACTGGGGGGTTTGGCAGCACGGGAAAAAATGTTTTTTGGCAATCCTTTATCGATGATCAACGTCCCCAATTAACGATTACCTTTAATAATAATGTGAAATTTATGGGCCTTGTTGATACGGGAGCCAATGTGTCTATAATAAAACAGTCTGAATGGCCTTCACTTTAGCTTCATAGAAATTCTGGGTTTTGAGAGGACAAGTACCCTTCACCTCATTCTTTTTAAATTATTCTTGCACTTTTGTTCTTTCATATAAATTTTAGAATTGTCTTGTCAGGCTCCTTGAAAAAGTCCTGTGGGCATTTGATTGGAATTTTACTGAAACTGTATTTTCAATAATATATCTAAAGATTCTTTGAGGTTTTCTTTTTTTAACTTTTTATTTTATATTGGAGTACAGTTGATTAACAATGTTGTGTTAGTTGCAGGTGTATAACAAAGTGATTCAGTTATACATATACATGTATCTATTCTTTTTCAAATTCTTTTCCCAGTTAGGTTGTTACAGAATATTGAGCCGAGTTCTCTGTGCTATACAGTAGGTCCTTGTTGGTTATTTATTTTAAATATAGCTGTGTGTACATATCAATCCCAAACTCCCTAACTATCCCCCCCCCCACCATAAGTTCATTCTCTAAGTCTGTGAGTCTGTTTCTGTTCTGTAAATTTGTATCATTTTTTAAAGATTCCGCATGTAAGCAATATCATGCGATATTTCTCTTTGTCTGACTTACTTCACTCAGTATGACAATCTCTAGGTCCATCCATGTTGCTGCAAATGGCATTATTTCTATGTAGGTGATCATATCACCTGTGAATAATGATGGTGTTCTTTTTGTCTGTCCAGTCTTGTGTCTTTCATCTCTTTCTTGTAAAATCTGACTAGACTTCCATCATCTGTTGAAAAGAAGCCATAACTGTGGGTATTACTATCTTGTTTTGATTTTAAAAGGTCTCTTATGTTTTACCATTATTTACTGTTATTAAGAATGAACTTTGCTGTAGAGTTTTCCAGATGTCCTTAATCAAGGGAGTTTACATTTATTCCTAGGTTCATTTGCTTTTGTTTTATCATAAATAGATCTTGATTTTTTTTCAAATGCTTTTTCTTCATCTATTAATGGGATCTTAGGTTTTTGATATAACATCATAACATTTTTCTAATGTTAGAATGATATTCAGTCCCAATTTGGTCATACTGTATAGTATTTTATAAACGTTGTTGGATTTATTTGTTAATATTTTGATTGATCCTGGTGCATCTGAATTTATAAAATTTATAAATTTTTCTTCTCCATGTCATCTTTGTCTGCTTTTGTATCAGAGATTGGGTAAAGTATATGCATTCCCAGGCTTTCTCTGTTACAAAAGTGGTGGAATGTTGGGATTAGGAGACAATTGTGTTCACATCAGAGCAGCACGGTTCATATCACAGTATGCTAGTTAACTGTGTGGCCTTGTAGCAAATTGTTTAACACATGCAGCTGTAAATCAGGGTAAAAACTGTAAGTACTTCAGCAGGTTGTAAATGCATGCAGTGGCTAAGTGCTCAATAAATGTTGACTTTTTTTTATGATTTATCATATTCTAATTGGTGCTCCCTCTTTACTTAACTGTAAGATAAGTACAGTACATTATTATCATTAAGAAGAATGACATTATAATTTATCACTTCTCAGTCTCTACAATATACTTCCAATAACTTCAAGGCAGAAAATACCTTACTCTTCTTTGCTTACCTAGAGGCTTGCATATGATTTGGTACTCAGTTAATGTAGGAACTGAACCACAAGCGGAATCAAGAAGCGGGTTGTTGTTCCTGCCCTCCTCTGAAGTGAATTACGTTAGTGGCACTGTTCATTGCAGTCATGAACTTGCACTCATTCTCGGACAAGGTGGCATAACTTTGGCTTTTTTGAGCATTATATTACTGATTCTGATTCTGTCCTTTTCTACTCATCCCCAAATAAATGGTGCCTAGCAGAAGAAAAAGAGATAATACTCTACACACACACACACACACACACACACACACACACACACACACACAAACACACACACACACGAAGAACGAGAGGCTCATGGGTATCATCAATGCACCAGGGACACATTTCAAGGGACAGGCTGCAGAGAAGGCAAACCCGACCAGAGAGAAGGTGGTCGGGGCATTGCAGGGACCTCTCCTACATCTTCAGCTCTGAGTCTCCAGTTCTGGGTACGGCAGGATCCCCGAGAAAACAGAGATAAACACAGATGCTTGCACAAGCCTGCGAGACAACTGGAGATCCGACTAGAGTTGAAAGGTAGGCTTTCGGCAATCTGCGCGTTTTGCTGTGTTCAGGGCGCAAGTCTTCCAGGGACACATTTCCTTCCACGCTCCAGGGAACCTCCCCGGCCACCACCCCTCCTGCTGGACAGCTTCCCATTTGCCGGAATTTTATGGGCGCCGCCTCTTTAAGCGCCGCGCGGCGCGCATGCGCCCTGGCTGTGGGCCTGGCGAACCCGGCTTCTGCACGCAGAGCGGCTTGGTTTGGGTGGGGCGTTCCCGGAGCCGGCGCGTCCTCCGCCTTTACGCGGAGTCCAGCGACCCCGAGCGAGGACAGCGCCTTCGGAGCTGCGAGGCAGGACCCTGCGTCTCCTCTTCCTCCCGCTCGGGCCGAGGCTGAGTCGCGGTTGGCCAGGCCCCAGGACGCCCCCCATGGCGGGCCCGCGGGTCGAGGTGGACGGCAGCATCATGGAAGGGGTGAGTACCGAGCCCGAGGCCTGGCGGGTTGCGGCTGCCGTCCGGGCTGCGGCACAGAGCTTGCCCAGCTGATGTTCTCTCTCTTCTCTCCGCACCAGGGCGGGCAGATCTTGAGGGTGTCTACGGCTCTGAGCTGTCTCCTGGGCCTCCCCTTGCGGGTGCAGAAGATCCGAGCAGGCCGCAGCACGCCGGGCCTTAGGTAAGTCGGGGAGCCAGGCGGCGGGACTGGAGGTTGGAGAGCGGGCTGGGGGCTCGGGGCGGGGGACAGGCCATTGGGGGATGGGGGGCGGGTCTTGGGGCTGGGAATCTGGAGCCCGGCGGTGATGCTGGGAAGATGCGCCGGCCCCAGGGTTGAGGACTCTGCAGCCGGCCCGCAGGGGCGGCGGGACGGTGTTCCGGGCTGGGCGGTTAGGCGTAGCCGGGCTTGTGGGCCCTTGAAAGTTTCAAGGGGCAAGTTCAGAAAATAGGCCCATGTTTTCTCTATTTGGCTAGAGTTGTCTCGTTTCCTAATGAGTTATCTTTTAAACGGTTTCCCCGCCTCATCGGGCATTCCAAGTACCCGGAGAGCTCGTAGCAGCGGGCAAGGTAGATCAGGGCAGAACAGCCTCTAGGGCCGGAGGAAACCCCACTTTTTAACCAGTGCATCTTCTGCTGCCGCACGTTTTATAGTCTCATAAGGACCCTGAGATGTGTCATTCCAGCTTTCATTCAGACCTTTAGGAAGCTGTGGATACGACCAGGATTATCAGTTGTAGGAGAGGGGAAAATGTTGACAGTTGACTTTGTTTCTTCTGTCTGGGAAGCTAGGCATGCCACTATTTTTTAAGTGTCAGGTATATGCACCTGTTAGAAGAGGACCCAGGGGGAAGACAGACTGATTCCTTGTACTTTTTATATATTTCATTATAATGGATCAACTATCTCTTAGTCTTTTATCCACACTCCATGTTGAAATTATTAAAAGGCAATTACTGATATGTGTGAATAGTAATTCTCTGTCACAGCAGTAGTTTGCAGTAACCCATTTCACCAATAGGGAAATTAATTCATTAAGGCTGTGTGAGGTATTTTATTAGTTTGCTAGGGCTGCCATAACAAAATACCACAGACTAGGTGGCCTAAACAACAGAAATTTATTTTTGCACAATTCTAGAGGCTGGAAGTCCAAGATCAAGGTGCTGGTAGGGTTGGTTTCCTCTGAGGGCCATAGGGGAAGATTCTGTTTCAGGCCTCTCTCCTTGGCTTGGAGGTGACCACCCTCTTGCCCCCTCTTCCCATGCTCATCCCCCTGTGCATGCGTACCCCTGGTATGTCCTAATCTTCTCTTTTTGTAAGGACACCAGTGAGAGTGGGTTACAGCTCACCCCTGACTGCCTTTTTTAATTTAATCATCTCTTCAGAGGCCTTATTTCTAAATACAGTCACATTGTGAGGTACTTCAACATATGAATTTTAGAGGAACACAGTTCAGCCCATGCAGGTATCATAGATTATTCAGTGAAATGCAAGTGAGACTGGTGGCACTTAGATAGTTTTATTAGTTTTCCTCTTTTGCATACTTACAATTTGCAACAATATTATCAGCATATATGTTTATAGTTAAAATAACTGCTCTGGAAGGAACCCTTAAAATAATGCCTACCAGCAGGTAGTCTACGTGCATAAAAAGCCAAAAGGAAGCTCTGGCACTTACTATGGTTAGAGCTTGCTGTTTTCTTGCCATTGAAGTTTTGTAAATGTGTCATAAAAAGTGGGGATATAGGCAGTCTGAATGCACACGTTTTGATGCAGTATTATGACCTGAAGGCCTCAGCATTTATCTGGACTGGAAATGATTCGAGATTTCTGTGATGGGCAACTGGAGGGGGCAGAAATCGGCTCAACAGAAATAATGTTTACGCCAGAGAAGATCAAAGGTGGAGTCCACACAGCAGATACCAAGACAGCAGGGTATGTGTCACTTACATTCCATTTAAGTGTGGGTTTTGGAATTAGACCTGGATGCACACGCAGGTACTACCACTTACTGGACAAGTTGCTTAACCTCTTTGAAGCTTTAGTTTCCTCACTTTTAAAATGGAGATAAAACACTTACCTTTTAGGGTTAGAGACTGTGTAAAGTCTCAGATACCTAATTGCTTCCTAATTGTAGCTGTTGCTATACCTATCTAGAATTTTCTCACATGTGTAGTATAGCGTATTTGTTTCTTTAGTTTTGTTACTTAGAAAATGAATATCTGAAAACAACTGTAGTTTCATGCTCTATAGTGCTAGTAGTCTTTGTGGTATAGCATATTTAGTTCTTGGCTTACAGCAAATTATGAGCCATCTTCTACTTTTAGTCTAGGTATTTTTGTTATCTTTTAATAGATACTTATACAGCCCTATTTAGAAATTTTTATATATGATCTTGGCTTTTTCTCCCCATTGAAAACTGGATATTTAACAATTAAATTGAGCCTTTATCCCTTTCCAAGAACCCCTCCTTTTATTGATAAAACATGGAGAGCAGTTTTTGTGTTTTCTGTGTTATTGGCTGATGGTTATTGTAAGCAGCATCCTTTATCAACATCCTATCCATTTACTAGGAAATCTGGTAAAGTAAGAAATAGTACTGTAAACCCAATGCCAGTTTGTTTCAGAAATGACTGTTTCAAAAAATTATGATTTTTTTTTAGCTTAAAATGTTTAGTGATGATTGAGATTTGAATTATGATGTGAATAGACTTCTGCTAAAAGGGGCTTGCTGCTAGGCCTAAAGTGAAGTTTGCCAAATGAGAACTTTCTTAAGGGGATTAAAGCATTTTGAGATATCTTTATAGTCAGCTTATTATTTTGGGCATTCTCTGGTACAGAAGGGGGGAAAGAGTTATAGTTAATCAGCTATCTAAAAATTAACACAGAATCATAGAATTTTGAAGCTACAGGAGAGAAGATAGAAACCATGTGTTCCAACCCTTCCTCCACTTTGTGAATGAGAGAGTGAAGACCCTCTGGTGTTAAGTGATTAACCAGAGGTCATAGAGTAAGGGTCAGAGGTAGAATTAGAATCTAGGCCTTCTGGCTTCTAATCCACTAGAACGTATGGGCAGTGAGCTGAAGGTTGATAATCCAGCTCCATTCAGTAGACTCAAACTAGCTTGTTCCTAGTCAGAAAACACATCTTATTTATTTGAATTCTAACATTTTCATCCCTAACTGTGATTACAGTACCATGTGTTTTCTCATGTCTACCTTTGTCTTTGCAATTCCTTACTCTTCTAATATTATGGTTTTCTTTGGTCTTCTTAGAATCTGATTTTATTGAATGGAAGAGAGACACTTTAGCTGTGTTGGGTTTCTCAGGGAATAAACAGAAGTTCAGTAGTTGTAAACCTATGGTTTATAGTAAACTGAACATTTCCACGTTTTTTTCACTTGCTCCTAGGCTCAATTCCTGAGAACAGGGATTATATTGCATGCATTTTCTCTTATAATGCCTAACACATTATACAGTCAATAAATATTTACTGAATTAATGACATGCATTATCAGTGATAGAGACTGTCTAACTCAGTACACCTGCATCATTGCTATAAGAAAGTTAAGTAAAGGCTATCTTTTGGTATGTAGAGGCTATGTTGCGCTCCTTTTCAAGCTACAGTCTATGTATTAGTATGATTGTTTTCCCTTGACTTTGGAGAAGGGCGATAACAGCTCAATTAGAAAATCTGACCGTTTCATTTTATAAAATGCTACATATTCTATAATTATTTCTTGTGATTTCTCACATTATTTGACTATAAAGACCAAACAGAGGTGAGTTATGGTAGGGATTATCTCCTTAACAGTTTTTTCCATGTAAAATATTTGGCTATCAGTCTTTGTAAAACATTACTCTATCATACCACAGATGCCAACATGGTAGGAACTATATCTTTTTTTTTTCTTTTTTTTTTTTTTTTTTGCGCGGTACGCGGGCCTCTCACTGTTGTGGTCTCTCCCGTTGCGGAGCACAGGCTCCGGACGCGCAGGCCCAGCGGCCATGGCTTACGGGCCCAGCCGCTCCGTGCCATGTGGGATCTTCCCGGACCGGGGCACGAACCCCTGTCCCCTGCATCGGCAGGCGGACTCTCAACCACTGCGCCACCAGGGAAGCCCTTTTTTCTTTTTTTTAAACATCTTTATTGGGGTATAATTGCTTTACAATGGTGTGTTAGTTTGTGCTTTATACCAAAGAGGAACTGTATCTTAATATCTGGAATGATGCCTTGTGCATGGTGGAGACTCAGATACAATCATTAGAATATTTCTAGACCTTGATGGTTTTGAATGCATTTTCATAAACTGTTACTTTTAAGAATCCTTTTGTAAAAACGTTGTAAAGATGCTTTAATTAATTTTTTTTTTTTTTACTCCTTTGTAAGATAAAGAAAAGTGTTAGGACTTAACCTAAGATCACACAGCTAATGTATTTAGTATTGGATTCAAACCCAGATTTGCTTATCATTTAAGGCCAGTTCCTTCTACTGCGAAATACTAATCGGATGTTATCATTCAGTCACTGGAGTGTTTTTTAACTTTAAACTTGAGGGCGTGTACCTGCCTTCTCACTTGTCTGTGCTTCAGCTAATGGTGATATGTAGTTATGTCTCTCTCTTGAGACTTTAAAAAGAAAATGCAGCTAAGCCTGTTCTGCCTTCTCCTTAGGAGTGTATGCCTCTTGATGCAGGTCTCAATGCCCTGTGCTCTCTTTGCTGCTTGTCCATCAGAACTTCGTTTGAAAGGTGGAACTAATGCTGAAATGGCACCACAGATTGATTACACAGCCATGGTAAGGGCTTTTGTTGCTACTGATAAACTAAGATGATCTCACATAGTCTTCTGAATCTCCATTCTCTATTTAAATATATCCTGAGTGTTTTTGTGTACATAGCTGTTTAATTTCTTAATGGTGTCTCGTTCTGTTGTGGGAGACGATAATTATTTTAGATTGCGTGTTGTATCTTAGAACTGTGCTCATAGTGAATGCTTTAAAAAGCCTCAGTTATTGTATACATTATATTACTTGTATGTGTATGATATTACTTATATAAGTCTGTTAGTTTCTGAATACAGGGATTATGATTTGGAAGAAAAACTCAAAGTAAGAATTAAATACTATGTTTGACAGGATTGGCGAGGATGTGGAGAAATTGGAACGCTTGCACACTGTTGATGGGAATGCAAAACGGTGCAACAACTATGGAAAACAGTATGGAGGTTCCTCAAAAAAATTAAAAATACAACTACGATATAAGCCAGCAATCCCACTTCTCGGTATTATCCTAAAGAGTTGAAATCAGAATCTCCAAGAGAAATTAGCATTCCCATGTTCATTGCAACACTATTCATAATAGCCAACATGTGGAAACAACCTAAATGTCCATTGATGGATGAAAGGATAAAGAAAATGTGGTATATACATACAGTGGATTACTATTTAGCCTTAAAAAAAATACAAGAAATTCTAGAATATGTGACAACACAGTTGAACTTTGAGGACATTGTGCTAAGTGAAATGAGCCAGTCACATAAAGACAGTACTGGCATGATTCCACTTATATAAGATATCTAAAGTAGTCAAATTCATGGAATCAAAGAATGGAATGCTAGTTAGGGGAAGGGGGAAATTGGGGAGTTCATATTCATCGGACATAACTTTTCAGTACAGTAAGATAAATGAGCTCTAGAGATCTGTTGTACACATTGTAACTATAGTCAACAACATTGTGTTGTACTCTTAAAATAAATCTCATGTTAAGTATTCTTACCACAATAAAATAAAATTTTAAAAAATAATTAAATAGGGCTTCCCTGGTGGCGCTGTGGTTGAGAGTCCGCCTGCCGATGCAGGGGACGTGGGTTCGTGCCCCGGTCTGGGAAGATCCCACATGCCGCGGAGCGGTTGGGCCCGTGAGCCATGGCCGCTGGGCCTGCGCGTCCGGAGCCTGTGCTCTGCAACGGGAGAGGCCGCAACAGTGAGAGGCCCGCGTAACACACACACACAAAAAATAATAATAATAATTAAATACCATGATTTGACTATAAATTTTTAGAATGATAAAATTCAGTATTGGCATGCTTGTACAACTAGTGGGAGAGAAAAGTGGTATCATCTTTTTTTCTCCAGGTTTATTGAGGTGTGGTTATTTATACTAAAATTCACCCTTTGTAGCATACAGTTCTGTGATTTCTGATGTATGATTGTGAACCAGCCACCACAATCAAGATAGAGAATTACTGTGGATAATTCCGTTATCCCTCTTTGTAGTCAATCCCACCCCTCCACCCCTGGCAATCAGTGATCTGTTTTCTCTAATAGTTCTGCCTTTTTTTCAGAATGTCATGTAAAAGAATAATACTGTATGTAGCCTGTTGAGTCTTGTTTTTTTCCCTTAAAATACATCTGATTAGGGGGAGTAGGATGGGGGAGGGATGGATTGGTAGTTTGGAATTAGCAGATGCAAACTATTATATAATAGAATGAATAAACAACAAGGTCCTACTGTGATAGACCATAATGGAAAAGAATATGAAAAAGAATTCATATATATGTATAACTGAATCATTTTTTTAAATAAATAAATAAATTTATTTATTTATTTTATTCTTGCCTCCTTGGGTCTTTGTTGCTACACGCAGGCTTTCTCTAGTTGTGGTGAGCAGGGGCTACTTTTTGTTGTGGTGTGCAGGCTTCTCATTACGGTGGCTTCTCTCATAGCGGAGCACAGGCTCTAGGCCTGCAGGCTTCAGTAGTTATGGCATGTGGGCTCAGTAGTTGTGGCTTGCGGGCTCTAGAGCACAGGTGCAGTAGTTGTGGTGCATGGGCTTTGTTGCTCTGCGGCATGTGGGATCTTCCCGGACCACCGCGCCACCAGGGAAGTCCCATAACTGCATCATTTTGCTGTATACTAGAAATTAACACAACATTGTAAATCAACTATACTGTAATAAAATAAATTTAAAAAAATACATCTGAGGGTTTCCCTGGTGGCGCAGTGGTTGAGAATCTGTCTGTCAATGCAGGGGACACAGGTTCGAGCCCTGGTCTGGGAAGATCCCACATGCCACGGAGCAACTAGGCCCGTGAGCCACAACTACTGAGCCTGCGCGTCTGGAGCCTGTGCTCTGCAACAAGAGAGGCCGTGACAGTGAGAGGCCCGCGCACCGCGATGAAGAGTGGCCCCCGCTTGCCGCAACTAGAGAAGGCTGTCGCACAGAAACAAAGACCCAACACAGCCAAAAAATAAATAACTTAAAAAAAAATACATCTGAGAGTCATCCATGTTGCTTGTATCAGCAATAAAAGCTAAGTAGTGTTCTATTATATGGATGTTTGTTTATCAGTACCAGTTTATCCATTCATCAGTTGAAGGACATTTGGACTGTTTCCAGTTTTTGGCAAGTATGAGTAAAGCCACTATAAACACATACAGGTTTTTCTGTCTGAACATAAGTTTTTATTTGTCTTGGGTAAATACCTACAGAGGGGTTGCTCAGTTGTAATCGTAAGTTTATGTCTAACTTTATTGAGAAACTACCAAATTGTTTTGGCATACAACGTGGCTGCATTGTTTCGCATTTTCACCAGCGCTGTAGGAGAGTTTCAGCTCTTCTTCATCCTCCCCAGCGCTTGATAGTCTCAGGTTTCAGTTAAAAATTTTTTTGCCATTTTAATAGGTGGTACAGTCTTTTAAAATTCAGTTTGATAGGATGTATAATGAAAGTTAAAAGTTAATCTCTCTTCACCTAGTAATACCACTTCAAGGAAATGACCCTAATTAAATATTGCGAAATGCAGCAAAAGATAATGTTAAAGGTATTGGAGCACAGCATTATATACTATAATTATTGTTATATAATATACATAATTATGTAATAATGAAAACTTGGACAATGGTTAGGTAAATTATGCTAGAATGCCATGAAGTCGTTCAAATATTTTGTAGGAGGAATTTTATAATGTTGGGAAAATGCTTTTGTTTATAATGTTAAATGGGGAAAAATGTATAAAACGTTGTGTATGCGGTGAGATTTCAACTATATAAAAAATAACTGAGAACGCAGAATGGAATGCTATTCAACACCCCCTAATTTCTTACGGTACACAATATTGAGAAGGTTAGGAAATACTGGCCTCTGGAGTTAAAAACTGCTAGGATCAAGTTTCCTGAGTTCTGATTTTTTTTTTTTCCATTAGATAGACTTGCACAGCTCTGATTAATTAAATGTTAAACTTTTGATTTTAGCTACGTCAGTTATTTTATTTGAAAAATAGAACTAGCCTACACATTTTTATATCACTGTTTATCCATGGTGCTTCTTTACTACTTCAGTGCAGAGCACTTTTGTTTACTAAATATACTTGCTGACAATGAATATTGGTGATTAACAGTAAACTGATTTTTTCAGGTTTTCAAGCCAATTGTTGAAAAATTTGGTTTCACATTTAATTGTGACATTAAAATGAGGTAAGTTACTTATTTCTTAACCCTTTGACCCACTACTTGTGCTAAAAATAGTGGAAAAGTTAGATCTTGGAGAACTGTCATTCCGTAACCCACTTAATACGTATCTTATAGGAAGTAATAGTACTTCGTGGCTTAAAAACAGTAAGCAGCAGAGGCATGGGGACTTGAAAGGGAATTGCTACACTGAGGCCCCTTCATATCTGGAATTATCCATGCTCACCACAGACAGCATGCTCACTGTGTGCAGACAACTGGAATGGGCACTGCAGGGTCATAAAAGGGATTCTCTTCCATAGAGCAACCAGAATTATTTTTCTAAGAGACATGTTGGGCATTCAGGTTATTTCTCTGTAAGGCTTCCCTTCCCTCTGTAAGGCCACATAGTAAAAAGGCCATATTTCTTGTAGCATTTAAGTGATTTGCAATCTTATTCCAATTTACTTTTCTAGCTTTATCCTCCCTCCCCTCCATATATTCTAACTACATGATTGCTGCCATTCCCTAAACATACTTTGTGCCTTCAGACTTCCATATCTTTGTTCATGTTTTTCTTCCCCTGCTCTCCTAAAAATTGGAAATCCTACATTTTCTGAAAGTGAAACTTGTAATTTCTTATGTGAATTGTCAGTGACTGTGCCTCAGTTGGAGTTCCTCTCTACATCTCTCTTGTAGTCCTCCTTACAGCCTGGCTTGTGTCCTAGCAGATTATATGTGGAGCCCCATCTTACCAGATGGGGAGTTCTTTGTGGATAAGAGCATTGTCATTCTCATCTGTGTGTTCTCAGCATCTCTTATAGAATAAGTGACACTAAATATTTGAATTGAAATTTTATTAGTGGTTCAGCTACTAAGTATTCATCATATATTTATTGAGCACCTACTATGTGCCAGACATTGTTTTAGGCACTGGAATATAGCAGGAACAAAATAGACCAAGCTCCTACCATCAAGTAACTTAAGTCTAAAACAGCACTGTTAAATAGAACTTTCTGTACTGAGGGAAATGTTCCTTATCTGTCCAGGATGGTAGTCACTTGATACATATGACTATTGAGCACTTGAAATGTGGCTAGTAGGATTGGGGAGTTAAGTTTTAAATTTTATTAAATTTAAATTTAAATAGAGAATTCCCAGGTGGTCCAGTGGTTAGGACTCTGCACTTTCACTGCTGAGGGTGTGGGTTCAATCCCTGGTTGGGGAACTAAGATCCTGCAAGCTGTGTGTCCTAAATAAATAAATAAATAGATTAATTAATTAATTAATATTCATTTATTCACACATAGCTTGAGTCTACCATATTGGACAACACAGATCTAAAACATTATTTGGAAGTTTCAAACATGAATTATAGTTGGATATCACGCACATGTTGTTTTATTGTAAATATTGAACTTTATTTTTGTCGTGCAATCAGTTTATGTAAGTATTCATGATAATTTTCATAGGGGCTACTATCCAAAAGGAGGTGGTGAAGTGATTATCCGAATGTCGCCAGTTAAACAGTTGAACCCAATAAATTTAACTGACCGTGGCTCTGTGACTAAGATATATGGAAGAGCTTTTGTTGCTGGTGTCTTGCCATTTAAAGTAAGCTATCTATTTACTTTACTGTATACCTGAAACTAACACAACATTGTAAATCAACTATACTCCAATAAAAATTAAAAAAAAATAAAATAATAAAAAAGTTGTCTAGATGATATTAGAAGTGTATGTATGTCTTGATAAGTATTATATCATCTAAATTTTGAAATTATTGAAAGAACTTAATTTTAAATAAATCTTTTCATTAAAAATGTTTCTTAAAATTCTGTGTTCTCTACTGTTGAAAATTGTGTTTTTATAAGATGCATGTAAAAGTTATTAATTATATGTCTTTGAAGGCTTGAAAGCAATTGTCAAAATAATCATTAATTTATTTTATTCTATTTTTTTGTCTTGCCAAAATAGGTAGCAAAAGATATGGCAGCGGCAGCCGTAAGATGCATCAGAAAGGAGATTAGGGATCTATATGTTAACATCCAGCCTGTTCAGGAAACTAAAGACCAAGCTTTTGGCAATGGAAATGGAATAATGTGAGACAATATACTTTTTCCTAGATGTTGGTTGAGAGAGCCCTGAAATAATTATTCTGTTTTAATTAAAGATTTGTCATTTTTGTTTGTTTGTTTAAATTTGTAGTTTTAAGAAGATATATTTTTAAGGGCATTCCTACCTAAAACAACAGTATGATGAATTATGATGATTATTTTATTCTGAATTTCTTTTCTGAGGATGGTTTACCTTTTATTACATTATAAGAGCCTTTTTGTTTATATAGCGAACTTAAATGTTTAAGCTAATCAGAAGTTAGCCTTTGGGCTTCCCTGGTGGCGCAGTGGTTGAGAGTCTGCCTGCCGATGCAGGGGACACGGGTTCGTGCCCCAGTCTGGGAAGATCCCACATGCCACGGAGCGGCTGGGCCCGTGAGCCGTGGCCGTTGAGCCTGCGCGTCTGGAGCCTGTGCTCAGCAAACAGGAGAGGTCACAACAGTGAGAGGCCCGCGTACCGCAAAAAAAAAAAAAAAAAAAAAAAAAAAAGAAGTTAGCCTTTGAAGATGATCCTAAGAGAAATATTTCCAGTTGGTTTTCTATATCTCAAATGTGAAATCAGTTTACAAGTAAATATAAGATACGGCAAAGATCTATTTAAAAAAGAAATATAGTATATTAATCCATTTAGTAGTTATTGATTTATGTGTTATAAAAATGCTTTAATTAATATTTTTGAAGAATAAAAGTATCTTTTGTGGATATTTAAATTTAAGCTTTCTTTTTCAGATTTTCTATTAAAGGGTTTAAAGTAAATGCATTTTCTTTGTATGATAATACTATCTAAAAACTATAAAACAAAACCAAACATCTCTGTAGAAAGACCTTTTCATTTAAGATAATGAGTGCAGTATGCCTTTGAAATGGTACCCTTTAGTGCTGATGACAAGACTTCTGGGAGGGCCATTCCTTACCTATGAGTGGATTAGAATCTAGTGTGACTTCTTGTCCAAAGTGCTGAAAGATACTCATACCCTGATGAAGATGGAGAATGCTAATCATGCTGCTCTCTGTATGAAGACTTTCACTTTTGTAATATACTAGCCAGATCTAATTCTGCTTATTTAATAGTCACTGTTCTCTTGTGTTGTATTTGCATGTAATTTTGGAATATTTATAGCATAGATAGTAATACTTTTTTTTCCCTATACAGCATTATTGCTGAGACATCCACTGGCTGTTTGTTCGCTGGATCATCGCTTGGTAAACGAGGTATAGCTAAATGAAGGGGGTCCATTGTTCTCAGTGCTACTGTACAATTCTTTAATTATCTGTCAGGATTAGGATGTTGTAGAATGATGGATAACAAGTTTGAAAGGATATGGTTAACTGATTCTATTTCAGAGTCAATTAAATTTTCAGTCTTCCCCCCAACTTTATGCTTTTAAAATTTTCAAACTTATAGAGAAGGTGAATGATTAGTGAATATCCATACACTAGATTCACCGGTTATGAACGTTTAGCTACGTGTTGTGTGTGTTTCTGAACCATCTCTATGCAAGTTGCAGGTACCAAGTCTCACCCCTGAATACTGCAGCGTGTCCATCCAAAGAATAGTATTTGCATAATCACATTACCATTTTTATACCCAAAGAATCTATTATATATGTATTTTTTTTTAAGATTTTTTTTTTGATGTGGACCATTTTTAAAGTCTCTATTGAATTTGTTACAATATTGCTTCTGTTTTTATTTTTTGGCTTTTTGGCAGTGAGGCATGTGGGATCTTAGCTCCCTGACCAGGGATTGATCCCGCACCCCCTGCATTGGAAGGTGAAGTCTTAACCACTGGACTGCCAGGGAAGTCCCCTGTTATATTCAGACATAACCAGATACCTCCAAAATATTCTTTAGAGCAGAATGGGGTTTTTTGTTTGCTTGTTTGTTTGTTTTTGAGCACACACAGCATTTGTTTGTCATGTCTGTTTAGTTTTTTTTTTTTTTAAACCACAGAATAGTCTCTTCACCTTTTTTTCCTTTCATGATATTTACATTTTGAAAAGTCCAGGCCATTTTCTCATAGGATTTTCCATAATTTGAATTTGTCTGATTATCTCATGATTAGATTTATTCAGGTTAAACATTTTTAGTGAGAATATTGCACAGGTGACTTTGTGTACCTTCTATTGTATCACATCAGGGTGCATGTAATGTCAGTATACCCTTTATCAGTACAGCTCACTGATCACTTGGTTAAGGTGGTGTTCTCCAGGTATGTCTGCTATAAAGGTTCCTTATTTATTTATTTATCTACCTACCTATCTGTCTGTCTGCCTGCCTGTCTCTACCATGCTTCGCAGCATGTGGGATCTTAGTTCCTCGACCAGGGATTGAACCCGTGCCCCTTGCAGTAGAAGCATGGAGCTCTAGCCACTGGACCACCAGGGAATTCCCCCTTTTCCCATTATAATTAATAAATACTCTGGGATAATACTTTGACACCATCTGATCATCCTGTCTCAATACAACTTTCATCCAGTGGTTTTAGTATCTGTTGATGGTTCTTCCCTGTATCAGTTATTACAGTGTTGATTTCAAAATACTGAATGTTTTTGTGAAAGGGAAATTTCTGTAGTATTTGGTATATTTGGGAGAGTAGATACATGTAGGCATCTGTTGGTTAGTATTTAAAGTTACTTTTGCCATTGAGGCAACTTCTAATTGAACTTTTCACTGTGTGGCAGTTGATTGCTGTATTCCTACTTTGTAGCATCTTTAAAAGATGCTTACCCTCGCTATGCCATTTAACCACATTATTACTGCTGAATAGAAAACTTCAGGTAATTTTAGTCTGCTTAGTTGGTTGATCTAGATACAGTTGGGTGTCAAATCTAACCAGTGTTAATAGAATAGGTAAAATCAACACCTTTGGTTGACTGGACATAAATGAATTCTGTTTAAAACTGTGCTGTTCAATGTGTGGTTGGCGGACAGGTAGCATATGGGTATCATCTGAGAGTTTGCTGAAAATACCAATTTTGGGGCCCACCTCATGTATCAGATCAGAATCTTTGAGAGTGGGGTCCAGGAATCTGTTCGAACAAGCTCTCTAAGGTATTATAAAATTTGAGAAATAGTGATCAAAAACATATATTTAGTGTATACTCATTACTTGTTAGGTGCAGTGAGGAATCAGCATGGATCAGCGAGCCGCTACATGCAATGTCTTTAAGCCTTGAGAGGGCAAAGATAATGCAAAATATAAAGCAGAGACTAGGACCCTATGTTACAAGTAGTAAGTGCTTGGCAGGCATTGGGTGGAATGTGAGTTTAGTTTGTTTGTATTATCGTTGGGTACCAAGATGTGCCAGGTACTATGTATGAAGGATTCAGAAGTAAGAGTCACCATTTCTGTCTCCTGGCTTAGTCTGGCAGAGGAGACAGACCAGTGCTGTGATTGTTCTATCCCCAGGGCACCATAGGAGCACAGGAGAAGAACAACTTATTCTTTGGGGGCTGATTGACCCCAAATCTGTCTTGTGCCATTCAGTGATCCTCCCGTGGGTTCTGTAGATAAGTAGAAGTTAGCCAGATAGAAAAGTGAGAGCTAAGGAAGAAGGACAAAGGAAAGTGCTGACATAAAAGTGTAGTTCTGTGTTTGGGCAACTAGAACCATATGTGATGAGTACAGGATCTGGGTCAATGCAGAGAATGAGGTTAGAGAGGTCAACAGATAGTTGAAGGGCTTTATAGGCCTTATAAAGGAGTTTGGATTTCATCCTGAAAACATAAAGATTTTAAGGAGGGATGTAATTCCAGGTCTTTGGAAGTTAGTCTGATAGCTGTGTAGAGGATTAGAGGAAAACCATAGTGGAGGCAGGAAGACAAGAGTCTGTTAACAGCAATCCAGGTCAGAAATGGTGAGGACCTACACCAAGGAAATGCAGGGACTGAGTCTAGAGAGATGAGTACTGATATAAGGGTATTTAGGAGGGTGAATAGACAATTTGGTGATTAGCTGGAAATGGGGGGTGAGGGATGCAGTGTAATGACCTTCTAGATTTCTAACTTGGGTAACTGGAAGTACTTAAAACTTGTGAATATGGGAGGTAGAGTTAGTTTGCCAGGGTAGAAGATAGTTTTGGATATGTTGTATTGACATCATAAAGGGACCGTTACTCTGTTAAGAGCAGTACTTGGAATTAACTTTACTGACAGCCCTGAAAACGTTTCTTTCCTAATATTCCATAAACTTTTTTTTTCACTTTGTCATATGAGAGTTTTTACTTTGAAGTTGTCTTTGGACAACACTCATGTAGAATGCACAGTACTTATTTTTAGACTTATAGTGGTAGGAGGGAATAGAGGATAGAGCAGCAACACTTACTGAGGTTGCCTGACTCCTTCTGGTGCCTGCCCTTGTTTCCTGTCAGGCACTTAAGTCAAAGGAGATGTCATTAGCAATTGCAAAGACCTTGGGGTCTTCTCTCTTAGTCTAGGTAGTCTATATATTAAGCATCTCAGAGAATGTCATGGATCCCAATATCCAGATCCCCTTTTTATTTCTGATTTAAATTAACTAGAAAATTACTAGACTCTGAATCCTAATGTTTAAGCGTTATTATCAGAAGCAACATTGGCTGGTTGTGCACACCACCATATGTATTAGAAGCAGTAGGTTGTAACTAGTCATGTTTTTGTCATTGTCTCAGTTACTAAAACTATTTTGACCTTAGTTTCCTTATCTATTGAGTGAGAGAGTTAGCCTGAAGAATATCTGAAATCCTTCCAGTTATAACATTCTTTAATCCTGTTGCAAAGGTGAGGTTTGTTTGTGTTTTTTTTTTTTTTTTGAGAGAATCTTGCAGTTTTAGATGGAGGCAGTGTATTATAACAGAGAGCACTAAACTGAGAGCAAGAAGACCTAAGTTTTGGTCCTATGTCTGTCATTATCTTACATGGTGACTGCGCTTTCCTTACCTGAAAAATGAGATTGGACCATTATCTATGTATAAGAATCCCTTCCAACTTTATATGATTGCTATATGTACAGAATGTATTTGTGTTTACATAGTTGAATATCTGTGTATTCGTTGATTTCTCATCTTTCAGTTAGTGTTCTTTACTATGGGACAAATCAATTTGCTAAGATGAATTATGACTCTGGTTTATCAATCCTATTTCTTATGTATGGAAACTGCCTAGCTTGTAGTAAGCACTTTTTTTCCTCCTTCAGTATATGTGGTAATTCATGGCATCTCTCTGATGCTATAATCAGTCCTTTAGCTTTCTCTGTTCAGCCTGATAACTATTTTATAGTTTTGTCCTTTTAATAAGCTAGAAGACACCCCGAATCATTGAATATTCATTTTAATTTGTTATAAACCATCAAAATTGAGACCATTTTAAGAAACCTCTAGAATATCAGAAGAGTATTTGTCAGAAAAGCCTTAAGTTTTCAGAAGAAACTAGGATTTTGCTCTTTTGTTTAGAACATAATACTAATAAGAAAAATTCTCATAATTACTTCATTTTGTTCAGTTGCCACAGACCGCTAGTAATAGGTGGTAATTATGTTAGATCCATTCATACCATTATTCGCTCTCAAGGCAGCTGGGTAGGAAGGAATGTGAATGGTTCTGAGAAATACTTTGCCCCTACACAGAGAAACCTTAGTGTGTCTACTGCTCTCTGATACTATTGATACAAAGCCAGGAATTCCTTCCTTCTCCTTCACATCCTCCATGCAAATTTTAGCCATTCTTCAAGGTCTCACCTAAGTCCTTCATGTTCCATGAAACCTTCTCAAGTTATTCTAGAACCTATAATTTCCTTTTCTGAAATCTCATTGGATATATAGTTTATACCATAGAGCTTAGCACTTATCCTCAAATACTCTTATATATGAGTATTTTCTGATGTCTCCTTAGCAAAGGAACCAGTTTCTATCACTTAGTATGGTACACACATAGTAGGTACTCAATATTAACTATTTTTATTAATAGCTTATTATAAACCAGTCTTGGTAATAGAAGCTTTATAAATATTATCTCTAATTTTAGCAAGTTTGCAACTTAGGAATTATCATCTCCATCTCCATCTGGAAGAAGAAATGGAAAAGGCAAAGTGGTTTACCCAAGAAGTCAAGATTCATACATATTCCAAACCACTTCATTCAGTCATGTAAATACTTGCCTGATTGATGTTGTGAAGATAGTTTAATTTGTTATATTATTATAATAATTGCTGTAAGGGAAAAAATGGTTAAAATTTGATTTCCCCTATTCTGGTAAATTTTATCAAGACATACATATAGTCAAATGAATTTCCAAATATAAAATAAAAAATAACTACATTCTCATTTTTCAAAGGACATTTTCATTTGTAGCCAAGGTTTCATTTAGTTTAAAGTAAATAAAAAGAATCATTTGACATTCCACTACTTCTGATGGACTTATTTTGTATTCAGCATTGTACCAAATACTTGTGGTACGTGTAGAGAAGTAGGAAGTAGAACATGGGAATAAATTTTCTGACTTACTTTCAAAGTTAGGTGATACCGGCAAATTCCCTGGTGGTCCAGTGGTTAGGACTCCGTGCTCTCACTGCCAGGGGACAGGTTTAATCCCTGGTCGGGGAACTAAGTTGCTGTAAGCTGCGTGGCACAGTAAATAAATAAATAAATAGTTCAAATCTTAAAGGAATAAAACTTTATGATATTTGATCTGAGAATTTTTATCTGTTCTTCCTTAGATGAAAATTATCTGACTTTAAAAAAAAATCCTTTAATTCTAATGGAATCGGCTGCCGACTAATTGTAGCATATATGAATTGCAAATTTAAAATTTTGAAATCAAGGTGTAGTGTTATAGGGTCATAACTTAGTTGTAAATTGGTTTTATAATTAGTACTTCTTTTTTTTTTCTTTGGCCACGCCGTGTGGCATTCGGGATCTTACTTCTCTGACCAGGGATAGAACCCGTGCCCCCTGCAGTGGAAGCACGGAGTCTTAACCACTGGACCTCCAGGGAAGTCCCCCTATAATTAGTACTTCTTAAACAGGGCCAAAGCAGCCTGTTTTTTCTTCCACTTGTGCATTTAATAAAATATTTGCATATGCTAAGCTCTCAGAAGATTAAATATACATGAAGATCTTATCCTAAAGGTTGCATTGGGTGAGTTCAGAGGCCTAAAAGATATTACACCAGTGCTAACTGGGATATATTAAACTTTTTGCCTCTTAGTAATTAATTTAGTTTTTTTTACATTGTGCCTGTTGTAGGTGTTAATGCAGACAAGGTTGGAATTGAAGCTGCTGAAATGCTGTTAGCAAATCTTAGACATGGCGGTGCTGTGGATGAGTATCTGCAAGACCAGGTAATGACACTTTTAGGATAAAAACCATCAAGCCTATTAGATTCAAATATTGGGCAATTAGATTGAATATAAATTTTAGTCACTGACTTTCAGACACTGATTGGTATGTCCTAGTTCAATCCATTTTTTAGGTATTTTTCTGGAATTTATATACCATAAATTTCAGTTCTCATCTTACTTGACCTGGCTACGGCATTTGGCACAATCGAGCACTCCTTCCTTCTTGAAATACTTTCTTCGCTTGCTTTCTGAAATACTGTTATTATCTTTGTATCTCGCTAACCTTACATTCTAGTCTCTTTGCAAGTTTGTTATTGTTTTTTGCCTCTTCTCAGCTTGTAAATTTTGGAGAGCCCTTGGCTTAGGCTCTTTTGTTTATCTGTATTCAGTCCCTCAGTTATTTTGTACAGTCTCATGGCTTTAGTACCATCTGTATGCTGACAGCTCCTAAATTTATATCACTAGCCCAGACCTTTCTCCTTAACTGCATGCTCATAATATTTCTTATGCCTGTCAACATCTCTGCTTGGATGTGTCATACACCTCTCAAACTTAATATATCTACTCACATTGAGAAGTGCTAGTGAATATTTCCAAATACAGTCTTTTTATGGTGCACTGTCTTGATAGATTTTCCTTTCTACCATAGTTTTTTCTCCTTAGTAGCAAATCAGATGTCTGTGTTTAGAAATGTATTACTCAAGATTTCTTGACCAGTTTCTTAAGACAGTTTTCCTTATTTCTAGTCTCTTCCTTCTTACTAGTCTACACTCCAGTAATTCTGTATTAGTGTATTTATTTATGTGTTAAAATGTTGTAATTCTAGAGTATGGAAGAAACTTTCATATTATATATAATAGCTTGCAAAGATAGTTGGTCTGATTAAATTTATTAACTTTTAACTCTATATTCTTAAACATTAATTTTAAAAATCTATATTGAGGTCTGCTACTAAGCATTTCTGTGCTATACCACAAACTTTTGGTAACACAGGTTTTGTATCATCTTAAGACTTTTGGAAACCTAAAGAAATAGAAATTCTTTTTTAGCTATGTTGATTTCTAGTATCAATAGTATTTTCATATGGAAAGCAGTAGAATTTTAACCCCAAATATTAGTAAATGTGTGAGAATTTTCTTCTTGTTCTTTTTTTAACAGCTGATCATTTTCATGGCATTAGCCAGTGGAATTTCCAGAATAAAAACAGGACCAGTTACACTCCATACCCAAACGGCTATACATTTTGCTGAACAACTAGCAAAGGTGAGTATTCTATCAGAAAGAGTAATTGATGTTCATTTTGGCCAATTTGGAGTCACATTTTAATCAACAGAAAACTTAATAGTAATTGTAATTGCTCTCATTCGGTGAACACTTCCTATGTGGCAGGCACTGAGCTCGCTCAGCAGTGAAGCTGAGTTGTCTCACTCTGCATGACCATTTTAGGTGGCTATTTATTATTAATCCCATTTTACTTATGAGTCTAGTGAGGCAGAGGAATTAATTGCTCAAGATAGTTTCTTAGTGGCAGGACTGAGCTTTGAGCAAACTGGGAGAGCATACATCTAAGCTCATGTGTGGTAGGTACTGCCTTCCAGTAAGTGAAGATGTTTTAATGGGAACTATAAAATCAAATCACAAGGGGTTTGCAGTGGGCTATAAACTTAAATTATTTATATAAAAATTTTAAATGTTTTATTTTATTTTCTTGTGATTTTATTGGGGTAGACTAGAGTATTTGCTGGACTTCTAACACTTACCAGTCCTTTCAGCTTCAGAAAAGTAGATTTGTAATTTTTTTTTTTTTTAATTTGGCTGCACTGCATGGCTTGTGGGATCTTAGTTCCCCGACTAGGGATCGAACCCGGGCCCTCGCAGTGAAAGCACTGAGTCTTAACCACTGGACCACCAGGGAATTCCCTAGATTTATAATTTAGAAAATAGAGGAAAAAAGCTGTCCCTAACTCCCCCTTGCCAGTAAAACCACTCTTGACGTTTAGGTATTCTCCTCCTCTCTTAAAATTGTTTCTCTTTGCATTTTTTTGCAGTTAATGCATACAGCTTCATTTCTTGCTTTTTTCAGTAATGTGTGGCATATTTCCATTTTGCCATAGTCTTTATAATGTAATTTTGTAAAATACTATGAAATTTATAACTCAGAATTTTATGAAGGAAGGTGCTGACCTTAAGTATTTTAAAAAGTTATAAAAATAATGTATAGTAGTATTAAGAAATTAAGCATTACAGAGGTGTACCAAGCTCAAAGCCACGGTTGCCCTACTCCTAACATGTTATTTGTATGATTCTTAATAATATGTACTTTTTTTGTTGTTATTAGAAAGGATAGGTAGATTTTGGTTAAATTGTGGGAAAAGGCTTGATAGGAGGCAAAGGCAAATTATATTTGATGTCAAAAGATAGTTAATTGTATTTTTTATTATTCTACTTATGCTGTATTTTGTAACTACTATTTGTCTCCCCACGTAGACTGTGATCTCCTTGATAGCAGAGACAAGGCTGTATTCATTCTTTTCTTTTTTTTTAAATAGATTTATTTATTTAATTAATTAATTTTTTGCTGCATTGGGTCTTCGTTGCTGCACATGGGCTTTTTCTAGTTGGGGCGAGCGGGGCTACTCTTCATTGCGGTACACAGGCTTCTCATTGCGGTGGCTTCTCTTGTTGAGGAGCATGAGCTCTAGGCGTGTGGGCTTTGGTAGTTGTAGCATGCAGGCTCAGTAGTTGTGGTTCGTGAGCTCTAGAGCACAGGCTCAGTAGTTGTGGCACATGGGCTTAGTTGCTCCACGTCATGTGGGATCTTCCCGGACCAGGGATCGAACCTGTGTCCCCTACATTGGCAGGCAGATTCTTAACCACTGTGCCACCATGGAAGCCCTGTATTCATTCTTTCTACAGTACTTTGCACATAGTAGACACTCACATGTTATTTGAAGTGAATACACAGTGGAAAGTGCCGTGAACTGGAATTTTTAGCTCTGGTTTCTTGTTCAGCTTTGTTGTGTTTTAACTCAGTGATTTGGGGCAAAGGTGCTTCATCATTCTGTGTCTCAGTGCAGATAATTCATCAGTGAGGTCAGAGAGTGTGCTGTAGTCCCTATGGCTCCTTCCAACTCTAAATTTTTGTAGTTTTTCAGTAGGTTTATATATAGGCTAGAAATGATTTCCATAATTGTTACCTGTGTTTCATATTTATATAGTGCTTATAATTTGAGAAAAATATATATACTGTATAAATTGTTTGTCTAGCTCAGAATTCAGATTCAGTGTTTATTCATTCAACAGTAATTTTCAGTGTCCAGTGTGTCAGCGCACTGCCACATAATACTGAAACTGGAATAATTTGTAAATATTACAGTTCAACAGGGCTTCGGAGTAGTGGTTTTCAAATTGTATTTCAGAGAATCAAAAGGTTTTAGGCATACTTGAAATCCCTTTGTCACAAATTCAGTCAGCCTACTTAGTTGTTTTGATTTTGATTCAGTTTTCTTAGAATGAATACATTTGCTTTTTAAAAACCCATGTTTCCACAAATAATGATAGAGGTCAAATGTTTCAAAGCCAAACTTGAATTAGTTAAGTGAAAAATACGTTAAGCCCAATAAAGATGAATGAAGATGTTAATTGTTACCTCCCTCTACCTTTCTGCTCTGAACTAGGTATTTTAAATAGTATATTTAGGGAATTAAATTAGCAAGAAAATTTGAGGGAATTAAAGGGTATTTCTGTACTTGACAAGATAAAAGAAGTATAAATGCTTCAGTGCCATGTTTTAGAAAAATTTTAGGAAGTAGGTAGTAGAGATGCATTATTATTAACAGTTGAGATTTAAAAATTTATATTTGCTTAAGCTGTACTCCTGGGGGGTTCTGATTCAGTGGGTATGGAGTAGGGCCCAGGCTGTATATTCTGACAGAACTCCACAGGTATGTATACATCTGAACAAGGACCATCCTTCTGGAACAGAATATTTTATATATAGGCCATTGAATTTCTCATGAGTCATTTGATCTTTGTATCTCTAGCTTCAATAAAATGAGTTTGGTATTAACTACTGCCTATTTAAGCTGGAGTTGTGGGCTCGTCCCTCTATCGCTTTTCATATTATTTATATACTAAATGCTCTTCTGGTTTCAGGCTAAATTTACTGTGAAGAAATCAGAAGATGAAGAAGATGCTTCTAAAGATACTTACATTATTGAGTGCCAAGGAATCGGGATGACAAATCCAAATCTATAGGGTATTTGCCTCTTAAATGATACCTCAATGATGTATTGCACTAATCATTTCATAAATATTATATAGAACAATGAATAAGCAGTAACTTATTAAAGGACCTGACTTAAATTTAGAGATGAAATACAGAAAGTTCTAGATTTGCTGAGACTGCTTCGTCCTATTAATCTCACTTTGACTGTCTTCTGAGATAGATAGGGACAGCGAAGTTTAAGAGTTGGTGAATATGTATGATAGCTGATTTCAGTATTAAAGTATTGAAATAAAATATTCTTTTCACCTGAAGTGTGTTTTTATTTTTGATATAGTGTATTAAGTTATGGATGTAGATTTGATCTGTAATTTGTGTATGATTCTAATCACTACTAGAATCTCATGTAAAATTTAATGAGACAACTTTGTACACATGTACTTGCTGTGTCAACAATAACATTTAATAAGCATTGTCTTATTATATGTATCTTCTTTCTAGTGGGTATTTGGTAGATATTGATTTTGAATCTGTTGAATATGTTGTGAAAGCCAAACAATGAGAATTGCAAATTTTCAACCCTAGTAAATTTGGCCAAATCAGCCCCAGGTAGGTTTTTGTTTGGCTTATAGTATTAAAAAAATAATTGCCTTTAGAACAGAATTCTTTTCATTACTCTCTATTGTCTTACACCTAGCCTGTTCCACATTTAGATTACTTCCTGGTCCCTGTAGGCAGTTGAGGTTGTGACTCAAATGAAACTAGTTTTATGTAACAGCTAAATATGCCATATTGTAGTATAGTGAGGAATTCATTCAGACTTAGTTCTGTCTTGGACTTAATCTGGTAATGATTAAAACGTAGTACAAGATTGGGATTGACATATATACACTAATATGTATAAAATCGTTAACTAATAAGAACCTGATATATAAAAAAATAAAATAAAATTCAAAAACCACCCAAACAAACAAAAAAAACATAGTACAAGATACAGATCCAGAAGATGATATTATAAAACATTCAGAAAGTACAGAATTAGTCTGTATAAAAAGGTGTAATGAAAATAACTACTCCACGTACATAATCGTAATTCTTGTCAGTGATTTCTGTGGCCTTGGACAGTTGAGTTCAGTTTGTTTTAAATATGATGATGATAGTATTGCTTGCTATTTGTATTTTCAGGGAGTAAATTTTATAAGTTAATTTCTATAATACATAAGGCATGAAATGTCTTTCTATTTTAGAGTCAAACTATACTTTTAGTATAGCTGTTGGAGGGGCTGTGATAAGTTTGGGGGTTTTAAGACTAGTGATGATATCTGCTGCTTCTGATGAGGCGTGTGGCAGTGTTAATGAGGTAGGTTGGAATGCAGAGATTGGGAATTTTGGAGCAAGAGATTTAAGGTCAACAGTGTACATGATGGGTTTATGATTAATCTTGGCTTGGGTGTGTCACTACTGTTAGTCTCAGCTTGGGTAAAATAAAGGTGGGACTACTGCAAAGAAATTTTTGTGAAGTTCTTGAAGAAGATGTTTATTTTCCTCAAACAAAATTGTACTTCTGTTCCTACTTCTATACCTGAAATTGTATTGATATTTCAGTATGCGTCTTCATTTTTTAATAACGACCTAATCCAAGTAATTCTGTTGATTGGACCCTATGTGCACAATGGGTACATTTAATATTTTGATATTCTTTAAAAATATTCTTTAGTGACTTTCAAGCAAGGGTATTCATACCACTTGAGTTTCACAGAGCCTTCCCATGAACTTCAAGTTTTCAGATGTCAGTAGTTTTTAGAGAATATGTTTCCAAATTTCTCTACTTAAATATGTACTTCTTTCTAAAATAGAGTTGCTGGCAGTCAAAGTAGGACTTTGCAGTTTCTCCTTTTTAGCTTCTCTTTCACAATCTCCATTTTTCCTCTCTACAAAAGGAAAGCTTATTTTTTACCCAGTCTAATTTTCCTATGGTGTATTCCCCTGGAATATAAGAAAATCTCAAAGGCACCAAATAAAGGGACAAACTGAAATATTAGTCTCTGAAAAGTCTTCTCAAACTAAGAGATAAACCTGTACCTTATTATATATATTTGCATGATTTTAAGTAAGGAGATGAAAGCTCCAATGTTTCTTTCCACAGATCAACATGACACCTTTAAATAAAGCTTATTTTTCTGATTATTAGGAGAAACATTTTCAGTAGCTTTGCTGAAAGGCTACTAGAAAATGTAAATCTTTTTTTTTAATTAATTTATTTTATTTTTGACTGCGTTGGGTCTTCATTGCTGTGCACGGGCATTTCTCTGGTTGCAGTGAGCAGGGGCTACTCTTCGTTGTGGTGCGCGGGCTTCTCATTGCGGTGGCTTCTCTTGTTGCGGAGCACGGGCTTCTAGGCTTGCAGGTTTCAGCAGTTGTGGCTCACGGTCTCTAGAGTGCAGGCTCAGTAGTTGTGGCGCACGGGCTTAGCTGCTCCACGGCATGTGGAATCTTCCTGGACCAGGGCTCGAACCCGTGTCCCCTGCATTGGCAGGTGGATTCTTAACCACTGTGCCACCAGGGAGGCCCTAAATCTGTTTCTTTTTAAACTTTGGTAGATTACCACTTAGTAAGAATTGTGAGTTACTTCTCTGGTATCTGTTCACCCCTACCATGTGGAGTGTGTTGTAGCTTCTATAATCTATATTATTAATATTTTGTAAATAATACACACAACAATTATATATTTTTAAGCCCCACACTTGATAACTTTTTGTTATTGATTTCCATTGAGCTCTGTCTCATCCCAGTAATTAACATTATCTGTCCATAGATACATGATCTAATTTTTTAAAAAAGAACATCAGTCTCATTAAGAGATATATTTCATTTTTTTTCATTTTTTTTCCCCTATTTTTTCGCCACAGTGCATGGCATTCAGGATCTTAGTTCCCCTACCAAGGATCAAACCCGTGCGCCCTGCAATGGAAGTGCGGCATCTTAACCACTGCACCGCCAGGGAAGTCCCAAGAGATGTATTTCCATAAATTTTACTTTTATATTTAGTGGCATATCAAAGCATATGTTTGTTATGCTCCATTGTATAATAATGCTGATAGTAATTAATCAAGCCAGAAGAAATTTTTTAAAAATTTAAGAGTCTTGTGTTCACTGAAAATTTTAAAACAATGTAAATTAAAATACATAGAGAAATATAACAAGGTGAACTTTTAAGCATAAAACTATAAAATTGTGGGGGAAGGGAATGTGTTTTTTTAATGGAGATGGTAGATATTAAACAGCTATGGTTTTTAGAGTCTAGTGGATAAATTTGAGAGTGATGGAATAGTTTTATTTTAAAATGACAATATTTATAACATTGATTACCTTCTTTCCTAGAACTGTTGAAACTTATGATGAAAAATTTTGAATCCCAGATCTGTTTAAACAGTATTTATTTGTGTGTCCGTGAGGATGTTTCCGGAAGAGATTAGCAGCTGAATTGGTGAACTGAGTAAAGTAGATTGCCCTCCCAAATGCAGGTGTACTTCATATAATCCTTTGAGGGCCTGAATAGAACAAAAAGGTAGAGGAAGGTTGAATTTGCCCTTTGCCTGATTGCTGGAGCTGGGGCATCAATTTTTCCCTGCCCTTTGTGCTCCCCATTCTCAGGCCTTCAGACTCAGACTAGAACCTACACCATTGGCTCTCTGGCTCTCAGGCTTTTGAACAACACTTCTGGCCTTCCTGGGTCCCCAGTTTGCAGATGTGGGACTTCTCAGCCTCCATAATCACATGAGCCAATACCTTGTAAGTCGCTCTCTGTCTGTCTATATGTCTTTCTGTATATCTTTCTCCTATTGGTTCTATTTCTTTGAAGACCCCATGACTAATACAAGTGATTTTATCAGAATCTACAACTTTGAAGGAGGGGCTCTCTGGGACTGATCATGTCTCTCAAGAAAGGGTGCTCTTTAGCTGGTTATCAGACCTCAGGAGCATTGTGGTTGGTACTCAGACTTTTAAAGGAGAGGGATGCAACCTGGCAGGTGCTTAGATGGTTCAGGTGGTATGGCCCAGCAGGTGAGGGAGCACAGCGGAACTAATATCCTTACTGCCAAGGGAGTGTAGCAGGGTATGTGGCAGGGCCAGCTGAAGAAAGCTTGGTTGGAGCCATAGCTAGCGGCCGCTATTGTTGCTGCTGCTGGAGCATCCCTGACAGGAGCTGAAAGCAGGAAGAGTCCTTTCTTCGCTCCTCTTTCCAAGTTCCACCTTGGGCTTCCCTTTTGCAGAATCTAACCAGAAACCAATTGGCAAGGGAGTCTGGAAGTTTTAGTTTGTACACCCAAACATCATGAACAGAGTCTTGAAAGGTGTGCTTGGAGCTGAGAGACAGTGAATAGCTATAGCAGAATCTATTTTTTTTTGGTCGTTCAATATCCATTTACATGTTCCTGTCTTACAACAATAACATTCTTTGCTTTTGCTTCACACGATGCAACTGTCCTTTTTACAAACAAAGATATTTCCGTCCTCTTCTTCAAAAGAAATCTAAAGTCCCAACAGTCACCATAGCCATCTCTGGGGGATGTTATTATCTGTTTTACTCAATCCCAACTAAATAAATATTCTGTAGCGTACAGACCAAATTGTAAAGTTAATCACCAGTAATAGTCCTCATAGAAAATAAAGAGGGACAATGAAGGGCAAGGAAAAAATAAGTAAATATATATTAATATATACATAAGGAGGAAGGAAGAAAATTTGCATAACTGCTGCAGTTGTGCACACTCATATCTGCTGTAAATTCTCTGTTTTCTCTACCCTCAGCTGGCACCACAGCCAGTCAGCGTTCTTTTCCTGATGGAGGCAATCCAAAACTTCACTCCCAAAGGGTCTAAATCTTAGTGGTCTGTGTTTTGTTTTTTTTTTAACATAGGCAAATAAAACAGTGCTTTATTTCTAATACCTAAAAAAAGTATTCTAATATAACATTATTTCAGGAGGTAAACCCACATGTATTTTTCTATATTTTTATATCATTGTATAATTTAAAAACACCTAAACACCCTAAATCTGTTCTTAGTGGTCTGTCTTTAATGTGTTGCTGTAGTTTTGCCTTAACTTGTACAACCAGATTTGAGAGAACTCAGAGAATGCCTTGGGCTCTAGACAAAGTCCTCCTGGACTGTTATAGCAGCTACTCAGTTTACCCTTAGTAATTGGGAGCAATTGCCCCAGGAAAAGCAATGATCTCTTCTTTGTTATTTCAATAGCATGAGAAGCTCAGCATTGCCAGTGGAAGTCTTATCTTCCAGTTCATTGGAGGTAT